TATATATATATATATATTCAAAGGATTGGCCAGAGGCAATTATACGAGCCCCAATCATTATTCATGCCCTTAAGAATTCGAGTTCCACACCCTACATTCGGAGGGAATCAAATCCCAAACCAAAGTGAACTTACAACTGACAAACAAATGCCCACCAACTGATCAAAGTGTCAATATTTTAAGCAAATAGACTGAATTATGAATTGGCTAGATGCTTTTCCCCTTTGCTTTCAATTCATTAAATAATAATCTTACAATCTATTTTTGGTACAAAATAAAGTGTATAATATGTTTTAGGTAACTTAATAATACATATTCCTAATCCAAACGTTGAGCTAAAAGAAAGATAAATCAGAATAAAAAGATATTGGAAATAAGAAAGATTCTAATTATAGAAAACTCCCAATTTGTTGTCTGATTTAGGTTCTTCCTGATTGACATCTCCCTTCAAATTGATGTTGACTGATCAGGAAACATCAATTTGCTAACAATAAACTGATAACAATGTTGGGACAAAAAAGTCATGAAGCCGTGAGTGTCGAAGCCTAAAAATATTGAAGCCCAGGAGTGTCGAAACCAAAGTTTTGCTGAAGCATAAGAATGCCAAAGTCTGAGAGTGTCGAAGCCTGAAAGTGTCGAGAGTGCTGAAGCCCGAGAGTACTGAAGCCCGAGAGTGTCGAACCCTAAAAATGATGAAGCACAAAAATGTCGAAGCCCGAGAGTGTCAAAGCCCGAGAGTGTCGAAGCACTGAAGTGTCGAAGCCCGAGAGTTTCGAGGGCCGAAAGGCCGAAGCTTGATAGTGACGAAACCCAAGAGCGCCGAAACCCGAGAGTGTCGAAGCCTTCGATCCTTGGGTGCGACGAAGAAGCAAAAGTCGAAGCGGACGAAGCTGAAGCGGAAAAAGCAGTCGAAGAAGTTGCAGACGCAACAATGGTTGGTGAAGGAGATACGAAGAGGACGAAGCGAACGAGAACGAAGATTACAGATGAGATTTGAATCACACATGAGATAACAAATGGACAGGATCGCAGATCAAAGCTGGAATCAAACGCGGGAGACAAAACTAGATGCAGAAGATAGAAGGATAGAAGAAGGCGAATCGAAGAAGGCGAATCGAAGGCGGACGAAGTTGTCGCAGCGGACGAAAATCCTTAGATAGGTGAATCAAAGCAAAGAAATAGTTCCTCATTTCTCGCAAGAAGGTCGACGGGAAGGAAGCCTCGACGACCCTCCAACGACTACCAGTGGTTATGACAAAAAATTGAGCAAATAAGCTCTGATACCATGTCAATGTTTTGAGCAACTATGCTGAATTTTGAATAGGCTCGATGCTTTTCCCCTTTGTTTTCATTCCATTCAATAATCTTACAATCTATTTTAGGTACAAAATAAAGTGCATGATATATTTTAGGTAACTTAATAATACATATTCCTAATCCAAATATCCAGCTAAAAGGGAAATAAATCAAAATAAAGATATTAGAAATAAAAAATATTTTAATTATAGAAAACTCCTAATTTAACTATCTAATTTCCGTACTTCCTGATTGACACCGAGTACGCGACACGTACATACATACATATATATAAATACATATATAAATTAAAGTTTAGATGTTTATATATAAATGATTGAGAGTTGGGTTAGCAGACGAGCAGTTACATTTTACCCTCGACACAAAATTAGCACTGAGAACTGCCAAGTCAAAGTTAAGCTGACCTTAAATTGTTGACCAAAGAAGGGATAAGGTATTGATCGTCTGAAATACGCTTCAAACTTAGTTGTATAACAACTCCAATAGCTAAAAAAAGTAAACGATAATGAAAAAAATGAGCCACTTGGTTGGCTTACGGGGCTCCTTATTTTGAGCGGGCAATTTTTTTTCACTTCTCCTTCTATCGTTCTCTAGTAAACAAGACAGTTTTAAATTTTTTCTTTATTAGTTGATTCACATGATTCCTTATGACCATAAATGATAATCTTTATCGTGTATTTACATATCTAATACATTTATATCACTAAAATCTTTCATAACACATAAAAAATACCGTTAATTTAATTTTTTTTTTAAATGAAATACACCATTCCATGCATCTATATAAGGTGATACGTATGTAAAAATTAAAGTTCATGTGCTAAATATGTAACTAAATTAGAATTGAGTGACATGTAAGTAAATCTTTCTTTATTTTAAATGGTCATTAACCAATTTTTTCTCATGCATTATAAACACAAAAAAATAAAAATGTTAAAGTGTTAGTTTACTAAATGACGTATTGACGCCACCGATGCAAGTAATCAGCTCCTCCATTAACCAAGTCACCATATTATATGTCATCTCCGCGGTTGTGATCTCTTCTTCTTCCTTGAAGCGCTTCCATCATTCATCGCACATTTTCATCCTCCTAATTGCCTGCTTCTTTGTGCTCAGTCAAGATTTCACTGCCGGTTTATGGAAGAGCCGAAGAGGCAAGGGCGACATGAGGGGAGAAAATAATATTTTAAATAAACGATTTTTGAAATGTTACACTTGATAATAAAAACTATATAAGCTGTTACTGGTTTTATATTACACTTTATACTTTTGATTATAATTCCAATTTTGCATAGCATGCATATTCATGTGTAGTGGTATAAAAACTTATTCAACATATGTTAAAGGTTCATGATACAATTATACATATTATTTTAGTTTCATGTTGCACCAGGATTTTTGTATATAAATATTTTGGATGCAAATAATTATGATGTCCGTAAATATATATATATATATATATATATATTGTGTGTGTGTGAAAATGCAATAATGACTCATATTTTTGTCATGTTATTATCAATGATTTATAGCTTTGCATTTAATTTAGAAGATATAAGAATTCCATCACAATAGATCTTAAGCAAATTTTTATAATGTATTAGATTTTGATATTACCTGATAGTATCTATGTTATATCAAGTTAGACCATGACAATCCCAATGAAATATTTGATACTCCAAACAAATGGAACCAAAACTCAAACATATTGATGAAAAAAACTAAAAGGTCATTTATAATCCAATCAGGCCAAAACAAAGCAGCAATAACATTGAGTGCTGGCAAATTCAAGTAGTGTAATAGGAGGGCAGTGAAAGAGCCAACAAGATCCTTTAATCTGTATAAAACACTAGCTAAGATAAAAGAGTTAGATCCAACCAGATTATCATCATCAATCAAAGCTAGATGGCTAACCAAAGTTCAAAGAGAACTCAAAGGAGGCGAAATGAACGGTAAACAACGAGCTCAAGAAATGAATTTTTATGAAGTTGTCATGGTATAAGGTTCAACACATTATACCAGCCAAATTATAGCACAGTTGGAAACTATATTAAATATTTAACCATATTGGAAATTTCACGAATGTATTACTCTATTGACACCAATGTACATAAGGATATAAGCAGCACAGCTAATGAAATTAAAACTGCTTTAGCAACATACTAAAGCATATATTTCGCCGGCTCCATGCATTCATCGAATATAATAATACAAAATGGAAATCAACAATAAAACAAATTTTAATGAGTATAGCATAAAAAATTATAAATTACAAGAAATTAGCAAAATGCTAAATGAAAGTCCATACCCTGCTATAAAGAATTCAGTCTATAACTGCTAGAAGAATTACTTCCAACCATGTCAGCTAGATAGAGGATTTTGGAACAACTACAAGTATGTGTGGATGAAAGTTTACAAGCACTGCCAAAGGTTCAAGGAATACTTGTGAAACACTTCAACCCAAAAGAGGTCTGTAGGAAAAAAACCTGATGGGTTAATTCATACATAATGCATTACAAAGAATCAAATTTGTCAAATATTGAAAGAATACATGCAAGAAAACATTAATCATCACCAAGATCTGTATGTGGGGATACAAAATTGGGGGGCATTTACATACATACAGCATGATTCCTATGTATTTACATATTTAAAACATAAACTTTGGTTTTTACATTTATGCCACCAAAATCTTTAATACCACATAAAAAATACTACCATTTTAACTTCTACAAAGTTTTTTAGAAATACACCTTTTAATGCATAGGTAAGTTGGTATGTATGTAAAAATTGAAGTTTGGGTGTTGGATATGTAAATACATAGGAACTAAATGGTAAAGTATGTAAATCTTCCTGAAAAATAAGAGGTGCTTCACATATATAACATCAAAATCAAAAGAATAAAATTTCAATAATATCCTAAAGGAGAAGTACAGCAGCTGTATAAACTGTATGAGCTAAACTATCTCCAATAGTGGCTATCAAACTACCCTTTTTCTTGTAACAAAACCACTTTCTGGCTAGACCTCTACTTACATCAGCAAGGGAGAGAAAAAAAACCATTAAAACCAAGTTTCAGACTTCAGAATGAACAGGTCTAAACTGGGAAGTATCATTTTCTGTCAAAATTATGGAAGCTTTAGCTGATGCCTTTGGTAATAAAGACAACTTTGTAGAAAGACATTGCAGAAAATTTGCTGTACTAGTCTCACATTTCTCTCCATTATTTCCCCTAGGAGCAACCACAGCGAAATGCTCCAGATTACCTGACTTCATCAACAAAACACCTGCGAGCAACATCTCATTCAGATGGCCTTTAAAACCATTCATCTTCACAAACTTTAGACTGCTGAAACCAACTTTGGGTGGCTCTTCCGTGGGAACTAGCAAGAACGTTGACATGCTGGGATCACATGTGCTCATGGGAAGCTATAAAAATTCAATCTTGCAAGGTTAGAAACTCGTTAATAGTTCATTCTCATTGCAAGCATATGAGAAAAAAAAGAAATTGATCCACCTCTAAAAATAGCTTCTCCAATCTCGGACAAGGGCAGTACTTAAAGAAACCGTAGATGTCAGAAAGATTGCTGTCTGCCATCATCGTCATTAGCAGCTGCAGCTCTACCAAGTTCGGAAACAAGTGGAATCCAACCTCTGCGTGAGCACTCAAATCAGCAATGCACTGTGAAGCGAGCAAAGAGGCAAATTTAAGCGGAAAATCATCAACTTCAGGTGAAAAGCTCAACATAATTAAAGAAAAATAACCAATCACCTCAAGCGTAATACTGCAGAGAGTGAGAACCTTCAAACTAGCCAGCGCACCAAAGGGTTTCACCCAATCTCCCGATGACACCGACGGGACTGCCGTGCCGCTGCTAATGTACACATCCTCCAACATGGCTGGGCTTTGGATGAAGTAAGTCTTGAGAAGATCCCCGCTGAAGCGAAACGAACGAAGCCCTAATGCTAAAACAGATATCGCACTTACTTTCCGGCAGTCCACAACGGTCAGACTCGTAAGCCTAATCGCTGACACCGGGATAGCGACCTTCTTCAAATCCTGGCAGCGGCGGATAGAGAGCGAGCGCAGCGCCGGACAATTAGCAAGAATTCGACGGAGGGAGGCCGAGCTAAGGCAAATCTCCCACAGGTTCAAGATTTCAAGATGAAACAATAGCATCCTGAAGGAAGGAGGAGAAGCAGATAAGTGAAATCCTCGGAGGGTGAGGTGGTTAAGCGTGGGACTCCTGAAATTGAAGTCAAGGATGGGGGCCGCAGCTGCAGCGGCCGCACGGGCTCCGCGACGGCGAGTTTTATTCGGAGAAGAAGCCTTCAGGGATAGGTCTAAATAGAATTCGCAGACGGAACAGGAGGCCGCGTAGCTGAGCCAGCGCTTGATGTCAGGGATTTGCAGAGCGGAGGGGGAGTACATGATCTGCAAACAGTCAATTCGTGCGAATCCGCGGCGGCGGAAGAAGTCGTCGACGAGGGAGACGAATTCGGGGTGAGGAAGAGAAGGAGAGGGGAAGATATTGATAAAGGAAGGTTGAGGCCAGCGAAATCGCCATATGCCGCGCCATTTGGATGAGAGCACACTAGTGCGAATGGCGAATTTGAGAGGAAGAAGAGACAGGATATAGAGGCGGAGGACATCCGGCAGTTGAGTGAGCCGGTCGACATCGCCGGCGGCGGGGGAGGAGAGGGAGAGAGATGGGTCTAGGGTAGATGAAGAGACGTAGGACTCCCGCCGCCTTCTTTTGGTCTCCATAGCTAACGGAAGCAGAAAGACCAGAGAGGCTCAAGAACCATGTGAAACGCAGAACGGAGTGGGCACGAGGGTTTGTGTGGTGGTGGGAATTGGGCGAGTGTTAATGATAATAGTAATAATAATAAATTTAATTAATATGTACTAGTGTTTAAGGAATTATAAGCAAACCAAAAAAACAGTAAATAAAAATTTACATATTTAGGTGGTGTTTGGCTGAAGTGTCATATTTACTTTAAATAAAATTTATCAAATCCCGTAACTCTCGGGAGTCGTGACTGGAACGAAGGCCGCAAGCAACAGCGGCGTAAATCCATTAAGTTCGCCTCATAGTTGGATTTAATAAATATGGATTTAGGTCGCTCCGTAGATGAAATGGAGAAAAAAGAGATGGATCACGAGAAAAAAGGCGATTTAATAGGGTGTTGGATTTAGTTTTTTTTTTTTACTATATTTAGGTTAAATTCATGACTAAATCCTATTAAAAATGTGCAACCAAACACCCCCTTATAATACAATATTTATATATTTACATATCTCACACCAAAAGTTTTATATTTACATACGTAATGCTTTGGTTCTTTAAACCTATGCATGAAAAAGAGCATTCCACTTTTAAAAAGTGATAATAATATTATTTCTTATGTGATATTAAAAATTCGAGCATTATTTCTGAATATGAAGTTTGTGAGATATGTAAATAAATAAGAAATTTGTGTTATTGTACATAAAAGAATATGTTTGTGTGACTCTTAAATATATCTAGCGGTCCGTGACAAAAGGAGCCCTCCAAAGACTATTTACGAGGAGATCAGCTCCTAAAGAGGCTACTTGATCAGGCTCATGTAGCAAACTTGTCGCCCTCTATCCAAGACATACCAAATGGGTGAAATAATTATAAGCTACAGAGTAATCAACACTAGTTCTGACATGAGGTTGTCGGGCTAGGTAGTCTCTTGACTTAACTGCCGACTGACTTGTTGGTCATCCGACCTCGTAGCCGCTCAATCTAGTGGCCACCTGGCTCCTTCTCGCTTGATATCTGTGAGTCCCATGAGTCATATTTATGAATAGACTAAAATACTGTCGTCGTACCTACGTACTTTAGAAGTACAACTTACAATTTTACAATGTCTCATTCCTATAAGTAGAAGAGGGGGTCCATTTCATGCATAAGGGTTATGCAAATTTATCGTTTATTGCTGTGATATTGCTCTATTTTCTCCTCGCTCTCTCTCTCTCATCTTTCAACCATCTATTCCTTAAGTGTGTCTCTCAAATAGTTTTGGATTCAACATCCTAAAAGGAGCGGCAAGCGTAGAGTTATATCGTCGACAAGAAGAGGAGAACAACCATCACAGAGAGAATATAGTGACCAAAGAGTAGTAGCTAATGTAGATCCCCCACGAGATTACATCAAGGAGTGTATGCAGCGAAGACATAGAAGCTGGAGACTCGGATCATGGAGCAGGTGGCAGGCCAGATTGCGGAAGTCTTAAGGGTCGTCACAGCCCTAGTAGGAAATCTGGTCCCCTAAGAGCATAACCAACCACAGGAGGCGGCGTTGATGCACAACGGCAGGAAGGTGAACAACGGTCCTGGGGGGTCCGACAATTCACAATATCAAGACAACATGGGATTTGAGTATGTGGAGAGACAACGATTTGGGCTCACTAAGGCGCCATGTAAGCCAAATAATCTTTTCTCCTTCCCGATCTCTCGAGAAAATCCCTCAGAAAAATTTAAATTGCCAGTTTTGGAGGCTTACAAAGGGTGGTTAGATCTCATTGACCATATCGTAGCAATTGAGTTGGTCGTTTCCTTGCACAAAATCTCAAAAATGTTCAAGTCCCATCTATTTTTCTCTACTTTGAGGTTGTTAGCCTTAAAGTGGTTCCATGAAAGCATCATCAAATTTGTTGATTTCATGAGATTATTTTTTGCATAGTTTACTAAAGCTAGGAAACCCACCAAGAGCTTACAGTTCTTATGGCAACTTCAGCAAGGTCAGCACTAGAGTCTACCCACATTCATCGCATGCTTCTAGAGAGAAATGTTGGAGGTAAAAGATCTTAAAATCGACGCGACCATATCTGCCTTGAAGCAAGGCTTGAGATTCAAGAGGTTTTCCTACGACCTTAGCATAAAAGAACCCCAAGGCTTGGTCAGTTGGTCGAGCTATTGGAGAGAGCTAACAAGCACATTTTGGTGGAGGAAAGTACCCCCAAGCAAGAGCCAGAAGGGCGTCATGCCCAAAAGTGTGCTCTCCCCAATGATAATTTGAAACCAATGGAGGAACATAGATTATCTGTCCGCCACTGTTTCGAGGGCAGCCAACAGCTAGTCCTCTCTTGACAATAGAGAGACTAGTCAGTACAACTAACATGGTGATCAAATGAAGAATCGTGACCTACGACCAGCTCGGTGTAATGAAAGGATGACCCAACATTGTGAAGAACCATACCATGATTATGAGGGCTTGTGAGCTACTTCTTTGAGGATATTAATGGCAAAGACTGTGGATGCCATCCAAGACAAGGAATACATCAGAGAATTCAGGCTGATGAGAGCCAGAGGATTTTTTTTTGGATGTTAGAAAGTATTATAAATATCACTGGGATCACGACCACGACACAAAGGAATGTAGGCACCTCCGGATCTCATCGAGGAGTTAATAAGGGCATCGAAGCTGAAGGAGTTTGTAGCCCAGGGACACTCGAGTTAGAGACATGGGAAAGCTCCAGCTTTAGAAGCCCTACCAGAGCTCATCTAGACAAATGTTGTTCATGTTGTCATGATAGCCTGACTATCAATGGAGGAATAAATGCCCCTAAGCGGAGCTCCGAGAAGAGGATCAAGAAGTCGTCCTTCTATCTCGTTCACAGACGATGACTTCCCCCAATGGGGAAACTCCTAAGACGAGGCCAAAGTTGTTACAAAGATAATCAATAACTTCCAAGTCGGGAGTATTCTCATTGACACTGGCAGCTCCATGAACATTTTGTTCAAGTTAGTGTTCGATAATCTTAACCTTCGGGCCGACCGGTCAGCAGCACCGACCCGCCTACTTTTTGGTTTTTCAGGTGAAAGAAAAGAGATGTTGGGTGTGATTCCATTGGCGGTCATTTGGGTTGAATGAGAGAAGCAGTTCACAGAGACGAAAGATTTTCGAATAGCAGACTCACCTCCTACCTGCAATGTCATTTTTGGTCGACTTCTGTTAAACCGCTTCAAAGTCATGCTGCCCATCTACCACGTTGCAGTAAAGTTCCCAGGAGACAAAATATTTTCTTTATTTTATTTTACTAAATTTATATTTTTTTTGGATTAAACACAACTCTAAGAAAAAAAAACTCAAAACAAAATTAAGGGATCAATAGGAGAAGCTTATGGTTTTAAAGAAGATACCCATCTTTTGTTTAATGTGCTTTCAGTCAACTATGCCAACAAAATAGGATCGAAATTTTACACATCCATTATTACAATTATTACAAAAAAAAAAAAAACTTGAATCATAGAGGATCCTTATAATTTTTAATCGTTAAGAAAATTTTTGCATAAACATGCATTCTAATGGTATTTAAATGATAATGAACATGAAAGTAGAAATATTTACATTCGCATGAATTGCGTTGGGATACTTTTTGTTCTAACACAAAGCATTCTTTCGATTTCATTACTTATTTGAAACATCAATAGCAAACTAATGACTTCCTTATATGCTTTATATGATCAATTTTATCTTATTAGCAAATGCTTTTCATAATACATGAAGTGAAATTGAAGATGGCCACTGAAAAGCAAAATTATTCCTAGGGACACACTCAAAGAAGGGGATCAATGACTATATTGATCATCGATCTTATGTAGTTGTTGAGAGTGTCTTTTGTTTAATCAAGGTATTTTAATTTATTTACTTATTAAAATTTTAATATAATTTTATTGAATCATTTGATTAATATACAAAAAACATGAGAGGGCCATGATATTAAAATATGGAGAGCATGTTGCAAAATATAGTTTGACTTAGGAGTATGGTTGGAGGCAAGTAGGGGACACAAACAATTGAGTATATGGCTCTGAAGGTCACCATGACAATAATGCATTTGGATGCCATCCCTTACAGTCAAAGCAATTTATAGGAAGCCATTTTAGAGAGCAATCATTTACAAGAGAGGAAGATCAAGGAGATTGTGCCTTCCATGCTTGAAGAATTACAATAACATTCCACCTTATGTGGTGGAGTTAGTGGAGTGGATGAAGAGGGACAATGATGGTGACAATGAGAAGATGAGGATGGTGATAAAAGTTAATTTATATATTGTGATTTTGATATTTTGATGTTGCAAGAATGTTAGACTAAAAATGCTAAATAAAAAGCTAGATGAAACTTTTAGCTAGTTTGTTATGAAGAATATCATGTTTTAGTTCCTATTAAAAATATTTTTGTGCTTATGTTGTTGTTTATTTTTTGCTTAATTTATATAGCTTTTTATGTGAATGATAAACAAAATAAGTATGTTATACATAATGCTATTGTTCAAGTTGTTATAATGTTAGGGTTTTAGTTATGTGATATTGTCCTTTTTGTAACTAATTTTGAGTAGCATCCATCAATATTTCACAAAATCACATAAACTAGCAATTGTTGTGTGGTCAATGAAAGGTTGCTACACTGTTAAAATAGTTATACATCAATAACTTCAAGGTCTTGGCTATATCAATAATATGACCAATATGCACTAAATATGATTGCAACTTGCAACTGACAATGAGCTGCAAATAACTCTAGTGATAAGCAAAATTGTAACAATGTGTGTTATTTATTAAGCAATTGTAAATATTCATTTGCTACTTGAAATAAGTCATTTGCAATCATTTCGATTGTCACAAAAGCATAAATGCGCAATTTTCTCTCAGAGTTGAAGCATAAGCACTTTAAACAAACTATTTACAATATGAATTTATTTTATTTTATTTAATCTATATAATTACTAATAAATATATTTAATATTTTTAAACATAATGTTATAGTAGCACTCACTACATATTTGCATCTCATTTTTTTAACAATAGACACCTCTCTTATCGATACCATATCA